TTCTTAGAGCTCTGAGATTCGTTTCTTAGTAGCTTTTTGTGTCTTTCGTAGTTTTTATTAATTTTGTGTTTCGGAAAGTTTGTGTTTTGATGATCAGCGGAAAGAGTTGATGATCAAGGATATTTTATTAGATTCTTAAAATAAATTACTATATGACAAAAACACCTGAATTTGGGTTAAGAAGCAGTTTCACCTTAAAGAGGTGGTTCTCAGAGACTACAGAGTCTTAGTAAAAGCTATCAACAATCTAGTATTAGTTACTGAAAAGATATATAAAGTATTATATTAAACCCATAATCAAATTACACAATACAGTGGCCAAAAACAAATATAGAAAGCAATATGACAAAGGTGAGGTTAGATAAAACAGGATATAATCAAAAAATCATCAATAATTGTGCAATTTGTGCTGTCAAGAAACCATCCTTCCACCCTCTAACTGCAAAACCAATAATTGCGAATAATTTTTTATCTTGCCTTCAGGTAATTCTGTAATATATAAATTATTTTCATCAATAATTTTTTTAATAAAATTTATTTATTATTAGATGGATTTAATTGATATAACTTATGATTCAGATAGTGAATTTAAATATATTCTTTATATGCGTGACTATTTCATATACTTTTCATAGGCAAAAGCAGTCACATCAAAAAGGGTGGTTGAAGTTGCCATATATCTATTTGATTTATTCCATTTGATAGGATCTTCTTCTATAATACTCCAATTCAACAATGATAAGAAGTTCTGTGCGAAAGTCATCAAAGAACTAGTCAGGTTATAGCCATTAATCAAACTTATCAATGAATGCTCTAGGCATCTCCAATCTCAAGGACTCATAGAACGTATGAATAGAATATTGGAGCAAAAGCTTGGAAAATGGAAGGAGAAAACTGGTCGCAATGACTGGTTATTTGGTTTAAGATTTATAATCTTAGCTATGAACAGTTCATAGTATAGATTATATAAAAAGATACTTTTTGAACTTGTTTATAGCAATAGTCCCTGTAATAACTGCATATTAATTAATGAATTATTTGAAAAAAATATTATTGATGAAGAAGAAATACTAAATACTATTGACATTCAAGCTGATTTTATTATGAATCTTGATAATGATATGGAAGATATAATGTTGTGATCTATAGTTTAGATTTTGGCTTATACTAACTTTTTTTGAATTAATTTTATCAAGAGCTAAATGACAAAAATGATGGTAGTACAAGTAAACATACTCTTGATTTTTTTTTTTTTTTATAATAAGATCTCAATTTAAGTAAAAAGCCCAGAATATTTATATCACTATGATGATGGTGGCAGTAATAATAATGATCCAGATAATTAATCTTCCTTTTTTTTTTTAAAAAAAAAAAGGGTTATTTAAGTTTTTATCTCTAATTCATATATTTATTTTGAACTTTCAATTTAGATGAAAGTCTAGCAGAGCAGTACTATAGTAATGAAGGTAATAGTAGTATAGGTAATTTAATATGAGTTTTTTATATTTCTCTTTTTTAAATATCATAATTTATTATATTTTCAATTCAGATAACAATCTAAACCTTTATGTTAATGCAACATTAGCAGCAACAATAATATGAGTAAATTTTCTCTGCTATAGTTTTTTTTCTATAAATTGTAATAATTGATTTTTAATTCAAATAAAAGCCCTAAAAATTCATGCTAAAACAATAGCTGTATGAGCAATAATAATAATACAAGTAGGGTCTTTTTACTTTAGCTTTTTGTTTTGAATAGAAATTTTATTAATCTAAATTCTCAATTCAGACAAAAACCCAGAACCTTCACACTGAAATAATGAGGGTAACAATAATTATGTGAATAGGTTTTCTTTACTGTAGTTTTTTCTTTTTTTTTTAATTTAAATTTTATTGACTTAAGTTCTCAATTCAGACAAAAATCTGGAACCTTTATCCCAAAAAAATGGTGGCAGATACAATAACAATGATATAGGTAGGTTCTCTTTGTTTTTTTTTTAATAGAAATTTTATTAATTTAATTCTTAATTAGACAAAAGCCCAAAATCTTCATATAGAAATAATGGTGATAGCAGCAATAATGGTGATAGTAACAATAATGGCGGTGGCAGCAATAATGGCGGTGGCAGTAATAATAGCAGTGGCAGTAATAATGGTGGTAGCAGCAATAATGGTAGTGGCAGTAATGATTGCAGCAGTAGCAATAATAGCGGCAGCAGCAATAATAATGCAGGTAGTTTTTTTTTTACTGTTGTTCTTTTTTTTTAAATGAGAATTTTATTAATTTAAATTCTCAATTCAGAAAGACTTTCACTCTGAAACAAGAACAGCGGCAATAATAATAATAAGGGTAGGTTTATTTATTGTATAGTTTTTTATTTTTGGTCAAAAAATTTTTTTTTTTTAATTCAGGCAAAAGCCCAGGACTTTTACATCAATATAATGATGATAGTAGCGATGATAATGATACGGATAAGTCATCTTGTTACAATTTTTTTTTAAAAAGAAATTATTAACTTAGTTCTAATTAAATTATGCTTTCAATTTAGGCAAAAGCCTGGAACATTCACACCAGAGTAATGACAATAGCAGCAATATAGGTAAGTTTATCTTTATAATGATAAATTTTTTTTAATATAAATTTATTAATTTGTTTCTCAATTTAGACAAAAGCTTAGGACAGAATAATAGCTGCAGCAGCTATATAGGTAAGTTTATTTTTATTATAATTCATTTTATTTTCTTGTTATTAATTTATTTTATTGGTTTAGAATCATGTCAGCAGATAGAGGATAGTCAGGTTCTTTCTTATATTACAGACTAAAATTCTAATATCACGCGACATAAAATCTTATGAACTATGGCATGACATGACCTTTAACTTTATAATAAAAAAATGACGAAGCAAAATGCTTAAAAAAAGGAAGGTTGTGAATTTTCATGTTGGCGACTTTATAAGAGTTAATATTCTGAAGATTAATTGATTTGAAATCGATTGTCCTACACTTTCCTATAATATTGTAGAAAAAGTTGATAAGCAGTATTGCTTAGGATGCAAATTCAGTATAATCAATGTCTGTTATTCTTTGGGTGAACTTGAAACACTAAGAACTACAACCTATCCCAAACTTGATGAAATTCCTTCAGGTAAATTATCCATCTGAGAAGTGGGAAGGCTCCAAAATGTAGAATTATTATCAAGTACAATTTGTAATTGTAAAGGCTCTTGTTATAGTAAAAAGTGTAGATGCAAAAAAAATGGTAGAAATTAGACAAGTAGATGTTATGGTAAAAAACTGTGTTCTAATAAATATTAGATTTATACAAGCAGATTTTATATTTCAATAAAAATTATATTTTATTTAAATTGATCAATTAAAATTATCATTATTAAATTCATTAAATATAAATTATTTATTTGCGATTGATTTATATAATTGCCTCAAATTGCGACTAAGGTGCCTCAAATGACGATCAAAATACCTCAAGTAACCGATCAACAAGTTACACACCTCATATGATGATCGACATCTGAGGCACCTCAGTCGTCACTTGAGGCGAGAAGCGATCTGAGACATAACATATATGTGCCTCAGTTTTATCACTATTAACAGTAATAAAACTATAATCAACTAGGTGATTAGCATTATTTTGTCATAAATGTTATAAAAAGAAGCTGATAGTTTGTGGTTCTTTTAGTAGAGGAAGATGATAATAGGTAAAAAATTTGTTAAAACATATATCCAAATCATAGAAGTTTGATGATATTGGTAATGATTTAGAAAGGTGTCTTTTTGTAGTTGCACTTGCTGTTTTAAGATCAGTTTTCACAGCTGTAAAGGGTTCTATAGTCTGCCATATATGTTTAGTCTGACCGTCTATATAGTTCTCCATGTAAATAAACTTGCCCACCTGTTCACTTACATCATTCTCTTCTAAAGATGACCCACAAGATGTGGAGAACATAATTACTTTAGAAGTAGTAGCTGCATTAATGTAATCTACAGAAGGAGTTATTGAAAAAGATTGTATGAAAATGTAAAAATCCATAGATTGTTTACACTTGTTAGTTAATTGCTGTTGTTATTTTTTTTAGATATTTCTTCTTGGTTTGATTCTGTTAAGAGTGTATTAGTATTTTGATTAGAGTTTTCTGTGATTTAGCTTGAAGATTTGTTGGCATCTGTCATGACAGTATCTTCATTGTCAGTTTTCTCTAATAAAATATCAATCATTAAAAAAATTCTTAATTTACAAAAAATTTTACTATATAAATCAATTTTAAGCTCTTAAGTAAAAATATTTTTTAATCAAAATATTTCTAGTTTCATGAAACAAAAAAATTATCTTAATAAAATTTTAAGTAAATAGCCTCCGAATATAAACGTTTAATAATAATTTTTAGATCAAATTAAATATTTGTCAAACCAAATCAAATTTAATCATATTTTTAATCAAATTTGAATTTAAATTTGATCAAATATTTGATTCAAATATTTGAAGATCAAATCAAATTGCGGAATCCTACCAAGTAATATCTACCGAGATGCAATCATCGAAGTAAACTATTCTTATAAAGGTTTAAAATGCAAATAGATATTCATATGATTTAAATGCATAGAAATTCATATCGATATGATATATAAAATATTTACAACAAATCTGATTCTATTTCTGATTCTATTTCAAGGAAAAAAAAGGACAAAAACTAGGATGATAGAGATTGGAACCGGTTTTATTTTTCATATATTAAAGCCGATTAAGCTGGTTTTAACATATGAAAAATAACATCAGCTCCGAACTCTACAAGGATGATTATCATAAGAATTAATATGGCATCAATTTTCATATTCATTTCTGACAAAAGATATATATATAGCCCAGCATACACCTATGCTAACCCATCTCCAAAATGAATCATCACCATCTAAATATTCATAATGGGACAATAACAAGTGCGTATATACTGCAATGAGTACTGGAGTTGTAAATGCAGTTATAAAATTTAAAATGGTTTGACTTATAAGACTCTAAAAATTGATAAAATGTTGATATTTTATACGAAAAAGGAAATAAGAGATTTTTTTGTTTAAACTAAGTACGTACCTCTTCTTCGTCAGCATCACGTACAGAACAAAATGCCACAGACACAACGCCAGTTCGATATACAAGTGATATGAAAGCTTGTAGCGAAAGTGCTTTCTGCATAGCTGAAACTGATTTAAAAGTACTTATAAAGTCCGTAGCACCTTTTACGATAGTTTTAGTATCAATTCTATATAATAAAAATTTATAAGCAATAAATACTGTTGGAATAATTATATATCTTGAAATCATATAATATAATTACTTGTATATGGAATCTGTAATAGACCAAAAATTTTGAAAAGCGGCAATCGGGATAGATAATTTTTCATGATCAATTAATATAGTAGTATTACTCGGTTTTTTGCTTTCACGGTTCCAATTGGAAGATAACATATATATGCAATATACATTATAGGCAAACTAAGAATAAATACTAAAGAATAAGTAATAAACAGAGAGGAAAATCAACCAAAAACTTAAATACATCATACCAAGAGAGCCGCTTTTCAAAATTTTTGGTCTATTACAGATTCCATATACAAGTAATTATATTATATGATTTCAAGATATATAATTATTCCAACAGTATTTATTGCTTATAAATTTTTATTATATAGAATTGATACTAAAACTATCGTAAAAGGTGCTACGGACTTTATAAGTACTTTTAAATCAGTTTCAGCTATGCAGAAAGCACTTTCGCTACAAGCTTTCATATCACTTGTATATCGAACTGGCGTTGTGTCTGTGGCATTTTGTTCTGTACGTGATGCTGACGAAGAAGAGGTACGTACTTAGTTTAAACAAAAAAATCTCTTATTTCCTTTTTCGTATAAAATATCAACATTTTATCAATTTTTAGAGTCTTATAAGTCAAACCATTTTAAATTTTATAACTGCATTTACAACTCCAGTACTCATTGCAGTATATACGCACTTGTTATTGTCCCATTATGAATATTTAGATGGTGATGATTCATTTTGGAGATGGGTTAGCATAGGTGTATGCTGGGCTATATATATATCTTTTGTCAGAAATGAATATGAAAATTGATGCCATATTAATTCTTATGATAATCATCCTTGTAGAGTTCGGAGCTGATGTTATTTTTCATATGTTAAAACCAGCTTAATCGGCTTTAATATATGAAAAATAAAACCGGTTCCAATCTCTATCATCCTAGTTTTTGTCCTTTTTTTTCCTTGAAATAGAATCAGAAATAGAATCAGATTTGTTGTAAATATTTTATATATCATATCGATATGAATTTCTATGCATTTAAATCATATGAATATCTATTTGCATTTTAAACCTTTATAAGAATAGTTTACTTCGATGATTGCATCTCGGTAGATATTACTTGGTAGGATTCCGCAATTTGATTTGATCTTCAAATATTTGAATCAAATATTTGATCAAATTTAAATTCAAATTTGATTAAAAATATGATTAAATTTGATTTGGTTTGACAAATATTTAATTTGATCTAAAAATTATTATTAAACGTTTATATTCGGAGGCTATTTACTTAAAATTTTATTAAGATAATTTTTTTGTTTCATGAAACTAGAAATATTTTGATTAAAAAATATTTTTACTTAAGAGCTTAAAATTGATTTATATAGTAAAATTTTTTGTAAATTAAGAATTTTTTTAATGATTGATATTTTATTAGAGAAAACTGACAATGAAGATACTGTCATGACAGATGCCAACAAATCTTCAAGCTAAATCACAGAAAACTCTAATCAAAATACTAATACACTCTTAACAGAATCAAACCAAGAAGAAATATCTAAAAAAAATAACAACAGCAATTAACTAACAAGTGTAAACAATCTATGGATTTTTACATTTTCATACAATCTTTTTCAATAACTCCTTCTGTAGATTACATTAATGCAGCTACTACTTCTAAAGTAATTATGTTCTCCACATCTTGTGGGTCATCTTTAGAAGAGAATGATGTAAGTGAACAGGTGGGCAAGTTTATTTACATGGAGAACTATATAGACGGTCAGACTAAACATATATGGCAGACTATAGAACCCTTTACAGCTGTGAAAACTGATCTTAAAACAGCAAGTGCAACTACAAAAAGACACCTTTCTAAATCATTACCAATATCATCAAACTTCTATGATTTGGATATATGTTTTAACAAATTTTTTACCTATTATCATCTTCCTCTACTAAAAGAACCACAAACTATCAGCTTCTTTTTATAACATTTATGACAAAATAATGCTAATCACCTAGTTGATTATAGTTTTATTACTGTTAATAGTGATAAAACTGAGGCACATATATGTTATGTCTCAGATCGCTTCTCGCCTCAAGTGACGACTGAGGTGCCTCAGATGTCGATCATCATATGAGGTGTGTAACTTGTTGATCGGTTACTTGAGGTATTTTGATCGTCATTTGAGGCACCTTAGTCGCAATTTGAGGCAATTATATAAATCAATCGCAAATAAATAATTTATATTTAATGAATTTAATAATGATAATTTTAATTGATCAATTTAAATAAAATATAATTTTTATTGAAATATAAAATCTGCTTGTATAAATCTAATATTTATTAGAACACAGTTTTTTACCATAACATCTACTTGT